TTGGTTGAAATGTGTTTTTGTGAGGTGAGAGGGAACAAAATTCTACTGTAACGTGGAGTTCCACAAGGATCTATTCTTAGAACCATTTTATTTTCCATCTACATGCTGCCCGTAGGCCCCATCTTTAGAGCTCGGTGCTGTGGTCTTGTAATCCTGATGTTGTAGGCTCAAGCCCTGGTTGCATCAGGAAGGGCATCTGGGGTATAACAAATTGCCAAATCTTTCATGTGATTTTGCTCGCTGTGGTGACCGAGCATACGAGTTTACATTTTTGCATCATTTGAATAGTTTTTATTTTTACATCTTAATTTATTATTGTTTTTATTTTTATTTGTTTTTATGGTCTCATGTTTGGTCTTGTCTTTTTACTCATTTTGTTTGCAGCAATTAGGGCTACAAAAGTTGTTTTTAAATGTGCCATGTAAATAAATTTGCTTTGAATCAATTAATCAGCCAATCAAGTCCAAGTGGTTTTTAGAGATGTTAAATGGGAATGTTTTAGCCCAATGAGTGGAAAACAATTTCTTCTGCAAACCACAATTATTAGAGTGTTGATTTGTTGTTATGCTGCAAATGGTTCAAATCATTGAGGCAAACTCAAAAGCTAAATAAATCAAATAAATAAATGAGTACATACTTTTATTATCTAAGCACATGGTACTTTTTGAATATTACTTTTTACAACAAGCAGAGCCAAACAAACATGAGCTCTTCATGGGTCCACACTTTTAGCCTGAATTTAAACGAGACAAAAATCTGACGAAGAGCTTGACTAATTCCATAAAGTGAGTAAAAATGAGTGTCCAAAGACAGCAATTTTTTTAAGTAGACCTAAAAATTATTAGCTCCAACTCAAAATGCAGACGACACAAAGCAGAGGTAAAACCCAAAGAGCCACCGACCAAAAAGCAGTCATGGTTGGAATGAACCTTAATGCTTGTAATTTGACATGGCAAATAACATCACAATCTCAGTGTTGTATCAACAAAAAATGCTCTTTTTTTTTTTTTTTTTCCCTCCCCAGAGATTTTAACGCAGCACATTCTCACTATTCCCTCTGTGGCAGTTTGAGATGGTAATTAGGCAGGGTTTTAAGTATATCTTCAGGATCTATGACTGAATTCAATTGTGAAAGATTAAAAGTCCAAAGATTAAACTGCTTGATCGACCAAAGCCAATAAAATCCAAAAATCAGCGTTGAACTAGAAAAGCCAGAAGGTCAGACACAGAAAATTTGGGTTCCATCACTATTAAACTAAAGCCCTATTCGCACAGGATTAGTTTTACCTAGGGACCACATGCTATTTGTAATAATTACGGAGATTGTCTGTGTTGTTACTCCCGTGCAAATCGGCCATGTCATTAATTTGTAAAGTAAAAATTCCTCCGCAAATTACCTACTATATTTTGCTGAATTCCAAGATCCTGTGATACTAATCCAATGTGAATAGGCATCTCTGTGATTTGGACAGAAATGGGCAGAATCCAATACGTAATTAGGCGTTTCTTGTTTTAGTTTTCTAAGTAAAATCATTTGGGAAAAATGTAGAACAAGGCTATTTTAAATGAACGCCCTGCTCGCTTCGGCTTTTGTAGATGCTGCTACTTCACCACAGATGACAGCAGGTGTGGAGATGCGCGCAGCCAGTGATCAGCTGATCCATCCATTCATAATATTTACCCGCTTCTTCCTTTTTCAGGTAGCGGGGGTCACTGGTGCCCATGTCCAACCATCACTGTACAAGAGGTGAGGGACACGCTGGACAGGTCGCAAGTCTATTTCAACCGATTGGTCAGCAGACGCACGACCAGTGACAGGTTGTCCATCTGGGCTTAATGCGACTTGCAGTGCGTTAACATCATATCCGGAAGATGTCTAACTTTCAGCTAAATCTCAGGTTTTGGTTATCCTGTGCAAATGCACCACATTAAAAGCAGACGTTGGGGAGTAATTTCTTGATTACATGTGGTCTCTAGGGAAAACTAATTCCGTGCGAATAGGGCTTTAGTTGAATGGACAGTAATCCAGTGTGGCGACAGATGGACTGACCTTTCTGATCCTGATCTTTCTTGCAACCACCATGGCCACATTCTTTGACTAGAATGTTTTATGTTTTATCTTTAAAAATCACACATGCAACATAATGATTAAATAGAGAAAAAGAGCAGGGCACACAAGAATAAAAATGGTATTAAAAAATAGATCATCCCTCCTGGTGCAGCTGTACATTGACTGAATGAGGACGCAGACCTCGGCCCCTGGGCTGGATTTCCGTGCCCTATTCCCCCTGCTCCATCTCCCGCAATCCTTCTCCACCCCATTAAGGGAATGCTCCAAATGGAAACTGAGTCAAATTATATGAGAGACCTGGGAGAATTGGTTTTCAGAAGCTTGGCATATGTGTGTCAGCATCTGCCAGCCAACAATTTGTGTGAATGTGGATGTGAAAGAAGAGGCTGGACTGTTCATAAATTACAAATCAAAGCAAAAAATAAAAAAAAGTTCAGTAAGGCAGACAGTCTACTCTGACTGTACAAAGCTGTGGAAAGGATGAGATGTCATACGGGGAAATTATGAGCTAAACGTAAAGTCACGCAGATCATTACCAAGCTCCAGCGAAAGGTGATTGCAGACAAGTCTTAAATGAAAGTGAAGAAGAGACGCAGTGGAACTGGGCAGAAGAGGATGAGGAGGAGTAGGAGGATGAAGAGCAATCCAAGTGAGTCATGGAATTAACTTCCAAGCCTTCTGCATAATCATTTCAGCTCACGCTTCATCACAGCGAGCTGAATCACTAGACGGACACGTGGCCGGAGAGACCCCCGCTTTCTTACGCTTTCTTTATTGCACACTGTCATGTGCGTTCTCACGAGAGAGACTGGCAAAGGATGAACTGCAGATTGTGGACAAAAATAAGCAAATCATCCCTTACAGTACATCGCCATTTGCCTTGGGAACTCTCAGCACTTGCTGACTAACAAAAACAGAAAAAAAAAACCCTCTTCATACTGAATAACCTTGGTCTTTGCAGGGTTTTCGTAGACTAAGTGTATATTAAGAACACACTGGGCTCCCCATAGATTGTGAAAAAGAGCGGTTGGTCCACGATAATCTTGGTTAGACATAAACTTTTGTAGCAATTTATTTATATAGCGCCAAGTCACAACAGAAGTCGTCTCAGGGCATTGAACAGAAACATTCATATACATAAAATGTAAAATAACAACATTAGATATGAGGAGCAGACTGATTTGAGTCTTATTTTTGCCACAGACTCTTATCCTGAGCAAGTATAAAGGCAACAGTGGAAAGGAAAAACTCCCTCATGAGGAAGAAACCTTTAGCAGAACCAGGCTCAGGACAAGTGGCTGCTTTGACTGGCTGGGTTTGACAGGAACAGATACACAATGGCAGGTCAAGAATTACATGTTAAGATAGAAATGATTTCAAATGCAAACTATTCAATTGTAACAATTAATTTAAGAAATGAGGTAAATTTGTCTTCCAGTAGTCCAAGTCTATAGCAGCATAACAAGCTAACCCTAACTCAACTCCAGTGCTCTTCACCGATCCCTCCCTTTCTCTTTTCTCTTTAAAATCTGTTTGAACCATCCAAAATTGCGTTTTTGGATCACTGAAAGTAGCTAAGCTGAGAAGCTAAGCTAACAGGCCGACCTCGGGGAAAAAAACCTCCGTCTTGTCGAAGCTCCAAAATTCATGATTGAAACCTGTGCCTTTGTGTAAAAAGTTGTTTTTCTCTGCAAAAAGAAGCTGAGAACTTGTTTACTGATTTATTTATTTATTTTTAATTAAAAGCTTTGTGTGAAAAATGATATGCTAAAGAGACGCTGCTTGCGCCCTCACTAACCATCCTTCGTTTCAAACAGTTTTACACTGCCATCCAGTGGTCCAAAAAGTTACTACACACAAAAACTAACCAACATTTCTTCTTAAATTTGACAATTACTAATTATTGTCAAATTTCAAACAATATTATCGTTTATCGCAATAATTTCTGAGACAATTAATCGCCCTGCAAAATTAGTTATCGTGACAGGCCTACTGGTGGCAGTGTATTAAAATCTAAGGTGAAGGGTAGAAGAGCATGATGGCAGTGTAATCATGATGTGTGAACTGTGTACACTGTTGGTCATTGAGAATATATAGAAGAAATGGGTCTGCTGATCTCTCTCCTAGTCTAGAACCTGTCACAGAAGTGAAACCTGTGGTAGTACCTTCATCCAATCATTAAGTGATCTTCTACCACGTAGCTTGTTGGATTGTTTAAATACTATGTGTAGGGTGGAAAACAGGATTAAAAAAAGAAAAACTTCCATGAGCCAAAAATCTAAATGATACACAACCATGCAGCAGTCTGTGCAATCCTTTTCTATTTAAAATGTTGTTGTTTTTTTTTTAAAGACAAATCTTTGGCTGTTGTGTGTATGCTCAGCGTTGTTTGTTGTGATCAAGACGTTTCTCTGCGTGAGAAGAGAATTAACCGCTGACATCCTGCTGATTTACAGTTTTCTGAAACAATTCAGGTGTCTGTCTACCTTTCCGGAAACCAATCTTTACGCAGCTGTTCAGGAACAGTCTATGGCACAAATGTCCCCCTGACTCGAGGGCTCTCCCGGATTTGTTAAACAAACAAACCTCTGATAGTGATCTTTCCGTGTACGCTGATTTGCAATGCAAATGAAGGCGATCAGTGGTCGCCACGGAGAGAATGCGGCAGTTCTCTGGCAACAACAAAGGGAAAGCCCTCGCGTCAAGATGCCTTATCCTTCTACATGTGTGCCTGCTGCCACCGATGGGAGCCTTATCTCAGCTGGCCTTCTGTGGACTTCTACAGGAGGTTCTAAGAGCCCCTTCCACCTTCCCACTGCTGTTTATGGCATAATGTACACGCAGATTTATGCTCCAAACCGTGATTTCTCTAGCGCCAAAAGTATGGTACACAACAAAGCGAAGAAAAACTAGACAAAATAGAGCTTACCTGGAATTCAATCCCATAGTTCTCCCTGCAAAAGTCGCGTAGTTTGGGGTAAACGTGCTCTTTCAGTGCGTTTCTCTCCGCTTCTGTGTCTGAAAGAAAAGATGGAAGAAATGCATTTAATATGTTTTATTTTATTTTAGCCCTTCTGCTGTCCTTGAGTCAAAATGACTCACAAGGCCTTGGTTTTAAAACTTTTACGTTGAAAAACGTTTCTTTGATTTTTCTCAGTTTTTAAGATGAAGACTCACAGATCATTTTGGCCCAAGGGCAGCAGGAGGGTTAAGAAAGGCCAAAAACTTTACTGATACTTGAAGTTAAATGTCTAAAAAGAGTTTCATCCAAGGTATTTTTTTTATCCGACTTTGAATTGAGCAGCAAACATAAAGATGAGCTCATTTTTAATGTGAAAAATACCATATTTTCTGGTGTATAAATCACACATTTTTTCCATAGATTTGTCAGTCCTGTGACTTTTATATGCCAAAGTGACTTATCTATGTATTTTTTTCTATATTCATAACACAATTTTTGGCTCTGGCCGCGATGGATGAATAGATGGACAGACGGTGCCATGCCGCCCAGGCAAAATGAAGCTGTTTTGACCATTAAATTAACGCATAATAAATGCGAATTGTGTTTTTTCCTCTTCATGATGCTTTCTTGACTGATGTGACTTATACGCCGAAAAGTACGGTAAACGTGAATTATGTAGATGAATGGTGGAAGTGTATAAAAACACCTTTGATATATTTTCAAAGGTTCTGATCCAAATCTAGCAGTATATTGTACTTAGGGCATTTATTAGCAATGACCATTGCTTCACTCAGACATTCTTAACAGTTACTGCTTCGATAACAGGGTTAAGAGAAAAGTAGCAGCCATGTGCAGCTAATCAAATGTGCTAACTGATTATAATCAATGTGACCACCTGTAAGAAAGTAAGTTTTTAATTATTTTGTTGTTCTGAAGTATACAGGTGCATGTTAACAATGCCATAGTGGAAAGACATCAGAAGTGAACTTAGGGAAGCAACTGTTGCTGCCCATCAGTATGAGAAGGGTTAAATGTAATTTCCACACAATTTAGGTCCACCATTCTACAGAAATAATGTATTTTCATAAGTGGAAAATGTTTAGGACAGTTGCCATTCTTCCCAGGAGTGGAGTTGTGGCTAATTTACCCCAAGGTCAGAGTGTGCAATACTCAGAGAAAACCCTGCATCTTAGACTCTGCAGGCTTAAATTAGCAGGTTAATGATAAAACTCACGAGAGAGCAATTAGAAAAAGACTGAACAAGTTTGTCTTGTTTGGAAGAGTTGCAGGAGAAAACCTCCCCTTTAAAAAAGAACATGGCAAAGGAAAATAGGTTTGTAAATTCACAAAAAAATACCCCCAAAGAACTAGAGCCCAACCGATATATCAGTAGAGGCCGATATAGACGTTTGCGGTAGGATCGGTTTCGGTGATAATTGTCCCATTTTGCGCCGATATATAAGCATTTCTAATTTTCACCCCTAAAATGCTGGAAACCAGCCATAATTGTACAATGTATCCAGCAGAGGGCGCATGAAGATTACTTTCAAGTCATGGCCTTAAGTTTCACTTTCACATTCAGCACAGATGAAGCAGGGAGCAATACTGTGTGATGTATTTTGCTGAACAGAGCATGGTAAGTTTATTTTAAGTGATCTGTAAAATCCTCCAACCCGCTTGTCATTAGCTACGTGCCTCTCAAGACACACAACATGTTAATGTTCAGTTGCATCGCCTTCACGACCGTAGCCCTGTCAGTATAGCAACCAGTCCTGTCGGATTGAGTTTTCAGTTTGTGAGGACATCCAGTGTTAGTAATTATCTTTTAGGGCAATCTTTTCTGTAGTTTTCCATTATCTTTGTCGTCCTCAATGAAATGCATTGTTTGTCCGAAATCTTAACTTTTCTCCAAACAAAAATAAACGCTGCGGTGGTCAAGACTAATTAGGCCTTCAACATACGTGACTGACTGTGTAAAGGAAGGGCATTTCTTTGTCTAATTTATATTTTTGTAACACACTTGATAACTTTATGGTGAATAGTGGACGATAGAAAATGTGAACACACTTTACAAGGACTGTTTTTATGACCAGTGCACCACTTATTAACCTACTGTGGGAGTAAAGCGTGGATCTGATTTGCTTAGCCCAGGGGTCTGCAACTTGTGGCTCTGGAGCCACATGCGGCTCTTTGGTTCCTCTGTTGCAGCTCCTTCAAGCTTTGACCAAAAATAACTTAAAACTGAATTGTATTAGCACAACAAAATGACTAGTTTTAGCAGTTTTCTTGTCATTTCCTTTGCAAATATGTGAATACTAAAACGAATACAAGGAGTAAAACACATTCACTATCTGATTTTTTTTTTTTGTTTGTTTATTGTGGAAAATTTAAGTATCCTATTTTGAAGAAATAAAGCATAAACTGAATGAGCTGCATAGTTCATTGTTTTAATTGGGTTCTAGAAAGAACCAAAGAACTTCTGGAAGAATTCATTTTAAACAGATGAGACCAAAGTAGAGATGTTTACTCATAATGCACTGTGTCATGTTAAGAGAAAACCAAACACAACCTATCAGCACAAACACTTCATACCAACTATCGAGCATGGTGGTGGAGCGCTCATGATTTGGGCTTGTTTTGCAGCTACAGGACCTTGCAGTCACTGAGTTGACCATGAAATCCTGACAGCTGAAGCTTGAATAGTTCTAGTTCATAAAACAGAACAATGATCCCAAGCACAGCAGCAAATCTTCATCAGAATGGTGTAAAAAGAAAAGAATCAAGACATCGCAACAGACCAAAGTCCAGAGCTGAACCTGACTGAAATACTGTAGTTGAACTTAAGAGTGCAGTGCAAAAGCAAATGTCCATGAAGCAAACCTCAGTGAAATTAAGGAACATTGTAATACCGAGTGGGACAGAATTCCTCAACAATTATGTAAGAAGTGGAAAAAGCCATACAGAAACTTATTAAGAGTTATTGCTGGTAAATGTTGTAGAAACTGCTGGATCACAAGAGTGGACTTAAAGGAGTTTTGAACACATTTTCTCTACATTGGCTTCATTTTTGTTTGATAAATAATCACAAGATGGAAGGTGGGGTTTTCTTTACCCTCTTGAGATGGACCAGATCATCCATCCATCCATTATCTTTTACCCGCTTATTCCATTTTGGGTCACGGGGGTCGCCGGTGCCCATGTCCAGCAATCACTGTGCGAGAGGCGGGGTACACCCTGGACGGGTCGCAAGTTCATCACAGGGCCACATAGAGACAAACAAGACAAACAACCATTCACTTTCTCACTTACACCTAGGGACAATTTAGAGTTACCAATCAGCCTAACATGCATGTTTTTGGTCTGTGGGAGGAAACCGGAGTACCCGGAGAAAACCCACGCATGCACAGAGAGAACATGCAAACTCCACCCAGAAAGGCCCCTGGACCGAGGTTTGAACCAGGGACCTGCTCGCTGAGAGGCAGCAGCTCTACCAGTTGCGCCACCGTGCTGCCCTGGACCAGATCATTTGTTCTATATTCTGATACGCAGAGACATGGAATTGAAAGAAGTCGGACTGTATTTTTTTTTTCTGTGACTGAGTTGATGCTGCATCATCTGAATGAGATAACTTCCTTGTTCAAGCTGTAAAACATAAGCAAATAATAAATATAGTCTCTAAGCCTGATGTACTAATCAATTATTAGTTTTAACCGGAGTATGTGTATGTTCAGGATGTCTAATTGTGCACCCATTGTTTACACCTGGAGGATTGTGGGTTCCAAAGGCAGTGATCATATTGGACAGTCTGAGTGTCACAGATGGGAAAGCCCATGGCTTGTTGTTGTGTCCCATTTTCTTCCTCCTTTCCTCTCCTTTTCATCATCTTCCAAATGGTTACTGTAATACATTCAGACAGGCCCAGTTTCGGTATCCCTGCCTGTCTCTTAGGGGTATGAACAGATAGTTAAAAGCAGAAATGCGCCCAACAGAGAGGCCCTTGCGTGGCCGACAGGATGGCCTACACATATGTGCAAGTACATACGCGGTGTACAGCCGGACCTACAGCTGCTAACCGTGTCATGCGCAGCGTGAACAGAGGAGCCCAGAAATCCACTCTGACGTGTCCGTCTCTCGTCTATCTTTGGTAAGGCTCCAGGCCGTGACTGAGCAAATATCTGCCCGCAGCCACCCCGGTAAAATGTCAAAGCCAAACCAAATGGATGTAATAGAATGCAAATTAAATAAATAGCAATTGCGTCAGCAGAGCTCTAATCTCTATCCATCAGTACAATAAATGCAGGATATCTTACGGTGACGCGAAGGACGACAGATGTGCAGAAATAGCAGCGTTTTGTAGAATTTGGATTTAGTTTGTGTGTTTGGGAAGAGCAGGAAGACAAGTCGTGCTTTCAACAATACGACTTGACAGACTCAACTGTGTTGTTATTTTGTATTGTGCTGATAACAGCGATCTACCTCTTTTTCTCTTGTTTCTTCTTCTGTGGGATGATGATGAGTTATGGCAGCCTGACGTCCGTGTGCGTCTGTTGTCGACGCACCAACATGCCGAAGAACAAAGACTGGATCCTGCACTCGCCTGCTTTTCTCACTATGTGTATGTGTGTCCCTCCCTTCAATGTTATTTTTTTAAATTTCAGCGATGCAGAACAATCCAGCTTTCAGATATGTTCCTGTCAGCTCTCCTTATTCTCCCTCGTGCAGTATTTACTGTCCTCTCTGCCTCCCTCTTCATTTACAGACCACATTCTGAACGGAAAAGAGCTGAAAGTCCTTGACAATTTTGCTTATTCACTTCCTTGTGGCTATTTTTAAACTAAAATGCAAAAATAGCTAAAAATTTCCAAAAGTATTTACATACTATCCACCACCATAAAAGGTGCACAATCTTGCCACGTCGGCGTTTTTTATTTTACTTGAGTTCCTTGTGTAACTTTGTCATGGTTTGTAGAGTTTAAGCCCAGAACTCAAGCAGAGAATGGAAAAATCCAGTAAAGAAAGTAAATGCATGAACAGGTAGATGTTCTATGATCAAGCT